AAAGGCACTTGTGCAGACAGGGTGCGTACAGGCGTAAGGACGCTCACCTGTGTGAGTGCGCGCATGAATCTTGAGACTGCCAGAGGTTATAAAGGCGCTGTTACAACCAGCGTGTGTGCAGGCATACGTACGTTCCCCTGTGTGGGTCCGTATGTGAATTTGGAGGTGGTTGAACTGAGTAAAGGTACTTGTGCAGCCAGGGTGCGTGCAGGCGTACGGACGTTCCCCTGTGTGCGTGAGCGCATGTCGTGTAAGAGCGCTAGGGGATGGAAAAGTGCTGCCACAACCGGGGTGCGTACAGGCATAGGGACGTTACCCTGAAGCGATTCGTGATTTTCCCAGGCTCCCAGATGTGCTGCTGAAGAACATCATTCTGTGTTTTAGGACGAGCAGACAAATCGGAGTCACTGTGTTGTTATTCTGTCGGATGGTCGCATTAAATTTTAACAAGCACGTATCTGTCAATTGAGATGGAGACCTCCAATGTGCATTTCTGAGGCGCAGTCGAGCAAGTTCAGACTGCAGCTGCTCACTCTTGAGTCTAAATATGCCATTGTATGAAGGTCACTCATTGTCAACGATGAGTCTGAATTTGCTAATGGGTGAAAAAACACACATGGTTTTTTGAACTACACTAATATATATCAACCTTGTTTCGTAAGCGAGAATACATATCTAAACTGCCTCAGTTTGTTCGTGCATGAGCTTTACCCATCTGTGCACGAGGCGGAACAGAATTTGAGGTAAACCTTTCAAATACTGTATTAAGTAAGTGTATGCAACGTGTACGACACAAATGCAATCTGCGAAGCACCCACATGGAAAGAGATTGACTACCACTATTAACCCAATCTGAAGGTAACCGTGTCGTTTGAGAGGGAGGAGACCGTTGCATCTGTATGCATGTTCACATTGCCTAAGGCCCACAAATCGAAACGTTTAGGAAAGTGCAGAAATGTATGACATATGTACCTGTTTGTATACAAACATTGCGTTATATTAAAATAATCATTTATTAACTGATAACTTGTAGATCTACGATTGCGCTCTAGAATTGATTTGTTCATATTAGATCTACAATTATACTTACTGTCATAGCCGCCTCGTATAACTCAACAGATGTTAACATTTGTACTATTACCCCCCTCCTCCTCCTCACAAGTCATAAGGCTTATTGTATAGAAATGGTAGCTTTATCCATTCTTTCGAATAAAAAAAAATTATATCGGAGGAAGTGAACTTCTGTGTGATTCTATGCTTTGTATATAAATTGAGTTCAAAGGTATGGCAAGCGCAGTCTAGTGTCATGCACATACGTTTTGATAATTTTATAATTGTAATTATAGGCAAACTATGTATCACTATCAATAAAACCAAGATGTGGATTATTCTGTTCTGCTGTAGAATTTGCATATGAATACATTCAACACTGTTTTACATATATAAATATATGAACAAGTTGCAGATATGTATCTTCATATACAAACGACTCTACTTTTCGGATATACATTCAGTACAAAGGTATGGCCAGGACAGTTTTTCGCCATGCACACACAGTTTGATTTCATCAGCAAACTACGCATCACTATCGCTAAAACTCATGCTATGGGTTATCCTGTTATAACATAGGATTAAAATATAAATATATTCACTACTATTCTATATATATATAAATCTATTA